GATATCTTCGGCCTGTTGAAGTTTCGAACAGTTCAAGTCAACGCCGCCTACCTCAGTCTTATTTGTCAACTCTGCCTCCAGACAATCAAGGAACCCAATAACTAAACCAAGTCATGCCAGAGCAGGTAAATAAATCAACGCAAATCTGGGTCCAACCAAGGAAAATACGGCAAATAGCAATCTTTGACTTGTTTTGCCTGATGTACCCAAATCCTAGCTTTTCTATAGCCACTTATGTCGAAACCTCTAGGAATTTCAAGGACACCGATCAGGGCGCTTCTTTAGAGAAATATGAGCAAATGTCCAGAGTCAGACGACTGCTTTAGATCTCCACTGACAACGAACCATCGAGGGTTCTGTTTCTCACAATTTAATAATCAGCCCGAGTTTATTCTAGGATCCGGCCTCTCAGTCAACTTGAACCAGAGTTGAACGGCTGGGAGAGATTGTACTTGACGGCCATTTCAGACATTGCGGCGACAACACCCCCGCTGAGACATTTGTCAGGTCTACCCTCATCGCCGGGATAAACGCAGATCATATCCATTTTCTGGCTGCTGTCATCTCCCGCGCCATCGACTCCTATTGCGACCTTGACAACAAACAGCTCTCTGTAGCCTGTCGGTGTGAACCCCAGTCTTTCAAACGTCCTTTTCCCTGCCGACGTGGCCGTGAGTGCTGCATCACCAAACATTAGCATATTACCCTCGGTATTATTTCTCGATGGAGAAAGACACGAAATCTTACCCGACATCCCAATTACCCTCCACTCCAACCTACTTTGCATCCTCCTCACCACTTCGTCCAACGCAAACTCGGCAAACCCTTTCTTCGCTATCCCTCCGCCCGTAGACTCAGACCCCGTCTGAGCCTCAAACCGCTCAATATGATAAACATGCAGGCCCACCTCTTCCACCTCCCTTTCCCCGGGGAACATGCGCCCCGGCTCAATCTCCGGCTCCTTCAGACGCCCCGCGAGCAGATCCTCCCAGTGGCTTCTCCGCAGCGGCAATACCATCACCACGCCTGCTGCCACAGCCGCACAGTCGTCCTCCCCGGCCGGTAGCGGTGGTGGTGGCCCCACTGCGGGCCGCCGCCCGCTGATTCGGAAAGAGATGGACAGCTCGGGACACGCGTCGACCCATGCGCGCAGGCGGGGGTAAGACAGGGCGACCGGGTACATGGCCTGGTCTGACGCGTAGACTGCGCGCAAGACGGCGTCGAGGATTGGCGTGGTTTGCGTGAGCTGTCCCCAGGGTGGTGGTGGTGGGTTTTGTGGCCTTGCTTTCATTTTGGTGGTCCTTTTGTGGTGTTTTGGAGACTTGAAGTGTCGAATGACGACGCGGGCGGGTGGGCCAGAAGGGAAAAGGGGTTAGCGACCGGGACTCAGCGACACGAATCCATGGCAGGAGACTAATTTTCTTGAATTCCGAGTCCCGAAAGTTGCTCTAGTCAAACCCCAACCGCTCACAACGCCCCTCGCCGCTTTTGCTTAGGTTCCGTCATGAAAAAAACTTGAAACGGGCTTAACCATCATGTACAGTCAGTTACAAAAAGTAGAGTCACACTGTTTTTCTGACTTTGAGCCAATGCAGCCAGCTTCTACAAGCGGCAAAATGGAAAATGACCGCCTAGGTTAGAACATATAGCTTGAAATAGCTCTAAACCAATATTTCGTTTACTTTTGGTAAAGGTTGGTGGTTCGTTAGTGGGGAGTAACGGGGTTGACTTTCGGCAACCCAACCGCCTCCGGACATCTGAATGGCGACGGAATCCTGGCATCGCAGAGGATGTTGGTACCACGGCGGTGCGCGGAGAGGAAACGTTACTCTCAGAATATGGCGGCACCCAACCCGGTTTGCTCGAAGGTAAGTGCAGAGTAATAAGCTACCTATGTTTTAGTGTTTCAAGCTGAAGGGTGAGTGGATCAAAAAGGTACAAAAGAGAAAAGTAATTGCCCACAGCCAGAATCGAACTGACGACCTTGTCATTACTAGTGACACGCTCTACCACTGAGCCATGCGGGCGTTATAGATGTTGTTTAGGGAATCACAATTCCTACTAGATATGCAAGTGGGCTCACCTTTCCTTTCACTTCTTCCACTTTACATCAGGAGACAATGACATTGGAAAATGTACTTTATGCTGCCATCCAGAGTAAACAAACTAACCATTGAGGGCCCGGAGGGAAAGGGTCAGCGCTGAGGTATTCCCTGCTTACATATCGCACTACAGGAAGCGTGGATGGAGTGGGAGTGTAAGGAATGAGTGCATCCTGTGCATTGAATGTGCTGGGGACACCTACAAAAGAGAGCGAAAGAGTAGCAGTGTATATTCGCATGTTTAGAAAGACCAAGATAGCTTCTACGTAGCATAGCTTATCTCAGTGTGTTATCTGCCTCAGTGGCGACGGGAAACCCCTTTGTGTTACTGGTTGTTTGGCGATAGGCATTGGCCCTGCCACGTGTCGTGCCGTGAGGATTGTAGAGTGGTCAAATCAGGGGCGGCTTCACTTATCAGTTGCGTTTGTTCCCGACATGCCATTAAAACGAAGGCGCCGGATCTTAATCATGCTCCCTGCCACCTCTCGAGGCAGTGCCTTGTCGCGGCGGAAATCTGCCCCTAAAGCGTGGCTCGAGCCCGTCCAGAGGCTTGAACAAACGGCGGATGTTAATAACCGAAGCTCAAGGGTGGGATGTCCGATCTACCTTGACAAATATGTCCACTTTCCGACAGATACTGCAGCATCCCGAAAGCTGGGTCTAAAAGGAGTGATGATCCTCTCTCTAGCTGTTTGCTGGAAATGACGCCCGCCAATAACATTCGGGGGAGTACGTGTTCTCATGTCTTCGAGACATGACAAACTAGCCCGTTGTTACCCCAGTTTCTAAAAGCCGAACAAGGTTTTTGTCTTCCAATCAGGCATCAAAGAGGTACAGATGTGGTGCGTCTCGAGTCATTGCAAATCACACAGGGGTGATGAAGCAACGCCGTGTCCAAGAAGCAGGGTCCATCTCTGAACGGTTGACCACAAGCGGTTGGCTGGTTTGGTTCTTTTGCTGATTTGCTGAAGCAAACGAAGTAATGGTCGCCGAATCGGCCAGCAGCTTCGCGGCCCAAGGCCTGCAGATCCACGTAGCCCGAAGCACGTCGTCAGCTCAAAGACTGATTTAAGTCGCGGTAGGCCTCAATTATGCAAACAAGGCTTTGCCTTGGGGGGAGGGGTATTAAAATGGCTATGATGAGGTTGCAAATCTTACCACTTTTCTCTACTTTCATCGAGCGCGGCGGTATCAACTCCCTGGACAGAAGCCAAGTAAGCGCAAGTTATCACCTACTTTATTTGACACCATGTTGGTGTTTGTAGCCGCAATCTGCCTGGTTCTCGTCCTCCTCTTCCAGAAATGGCGGCGCTGGTGTGTCCAGGAATGGGTCCGCCAGCAGCTGGAAATCGCAAACTTCCACTATGCAGGAGAGCCGAACTGCCAAGAGCGGTTGCGGTTGCGAGCGACTGAAAACCATCGCCTCAAGGCGGCATTTGGCATCAATAACTCCCTGACGACCGATGACGTGGGAACTCACAAGGACTTCCTTGGCAAGGCATCCCAGCTGGTGAACAAGAGCAGCCGCAACTGGGAGACGCTATACAGTAGCGCAGAGGCCTTCCTCGAGATGCAACTCAGAGATGCCCTCATGACGGGGAGGGACAGTTTGCCTCTCGCCGATTCGGTCCGCTGCATGGTCCTCGCTGTGGTGCTTTCTGACAGCTTCGGCCTCGACCCAGCCAGAATCTCAATGGGCGACCTCTCCATCATCACGCAGGAGATCAACAGCCAGTGGCTGCAGTCCAAATGCCACCCCGACGACGTCGCCCCGTCCCAGCTCCTCAACTCGACCATCGCCAAGTTGGACATCAAATCCCCCTCATTCACAACCCCCAACCCCCGCGACCCGACCCCGACCGAGGTCCTCAGCCTGCTGATGCCGCAGTACGAAACCCTCTGGCGCGTGGTACTCCTGACCTTTGTCACGGCATACCACCACCAGCCGGCCGCCTACCCAGACACGCTCCAGAGAACAGCCGACGTCCCCTCTTGCCTGGGCACGGCAACCCGCGCCGAGGAGGAAGCCCTCAAACTAGCCAACGTAACCCCCTTTCAATCCATTCCCATCCCACCCACCTACTAACCAAACCCCGTGATAAAAAAACACACAGGAAGGTCTCCGCCTCTACCCCTCCAACAAACACCTCTACCGCGCCCCCGCAACCGCCGCCACCACCACCACCTCCTCCTCCTCCTCCCCGCCCATAAAACCAGCAGCAGCAGACATCTCGACTCTCCACAGACACCCCTCCATCTGGGGCCGCGACGCACTCGCCTTCTGCCCCGCGCGGTTTGACGAGGACAGGTTGGCGGCGCTGCAGCGGGAGGCGTACATCCCCTTCTCGGTCGCGCCGCACAAGTGTCCCGCGTGGAAGGGGTTTGGGGAGCGGATGGTGACTGTTTTGGTGGTGGCGCTGGGGAGGGGGTTGGGGCCTGGAAAGGGGAGGGTTGATTTTGGTGGTGGGAAGGGGAAGGGGAAAGGGGGTGAGTTGCCGACGGGGCGGGATGAGATGGAGGGGTGGGTTTGGGAGGTGGCCCGGGGTGTTGGAGAGTGAGTCAGGGGGAATCTTTGTTTGGGGAGGTGGCGGAGGCTTAAGAAGAGAGAGGGATGCGATTGGGGGTGGGTTGGGGAGTTGAGGGAGGATTGGGATTGACGTATTGGTTCTTGTGGGTAATTGGAGTCGCGGGAAGATGAACGACGTCGAGTTGGTGAGAATTCAGCTTGTGAGGGCATGTCAGGGGCATCTTGACAGCAGTCGTTGTGACTCGTATTTTATTTTGTGCAATTGGGAAGTTCCATAATAACTTCCATTAGCCGGCCTACTGAATCCATGGCATTACCCATGTGGCAATGTGCGCTCTTTAGCCCGCATTTTGGACCGCAAAAGGCACCTAGGGTGACTAGTCTAGTGGTCAGGACGTTTCGTTGTGGCTCTTTCCTTGCGAATCCGAAGAAACCCCGGTTCGATTCCGGGGTCGCCCAAGCTTTTGCTCAACACACCTCGATGTCTCTTGAAAAGGGCAAAATCAGCGTGCTTTTTTGCCTTAATACTTTGTATGAACAAAGTCCATCTCTCGACGCTCAATTGAGGACAGTTAGCCAGGACGGTTTGTTTGCGCGAATTTGCGGTTCAGGAATCCTTCGAACAGATTGTTGCTTACTCGGCCCCAAATTCCCTCGGTGTGACCGTGTGCGGTTCCAACTTCCAAGGTTGTTGCTGATCCCGATCGGTATCTTCCTGGACACTGTTACGACGTATGGAAACGGCGAGCAAACAAGAAAAAGACTGCGTTACCATGTCACGAGGTATATGGCGCGAGGTTTGGCGAAAAACGAAAGCCGCGAGCTTCCCGATACAGAGGAAGCACGACAGGCATCATCCACGGCAGAAGTTACCCTCGCCTTTCCTCTGACGGAAGATTCGCAGCCGGTTCTTGAGCGGCAAGAGCTATTTGCCTTTCTACCCGTCAGAGAGTCAAGTTTCAAGGTAAGCATTAGCAAGCCCTGAAATAATACGCACCCGCTGATCGGACTGGTGTTTTCAATCACAGTTTCTGGTTCACTCCGACTTCGACACGAGCGCCAGTAGGCAAGATATTGTCGCCCAATCGAGCAGAAACATCGGTCTATTAGATGCAATCGCAGCCGCATTCATCAAGGCCGTTCGGCAGTTCTGCAACCATGGCGATTTGTGCTGCACCTGGCCCGGGTTTCTCCCACCGCCGGATGGCACAGACGAATTCTGGTCAGGACTCAATACAAAAGTCAAAGCGCGGCTCGCCCAAATTCCCGTTCTGGGATCGAGACATCGGAGCGACTTGCGTAAGATCCAGATTGTCGTGATCCTCCCGGACAACGCTAAGGACGAGTACGGAGAATCCCTACTGGATGACCAGGAGCCTGGAGGCGGACCCCTTTCTCTCCGACAGATACACTCCTGAAAGCTGTGCGGTGCTTGCCCAGTACGGCCTGGAGACTTAGAGCCACCCCTCGTTTCTTGCCATGTTACGGGCCGATCTCCGTCTCCCTGGGTCAAAGATGAGGTCAAACTCGACTAGCCAGAAGTGGCACTCTGCGGTTGCACGGCTCCTCTCCTGCTGCATTGATGCGGGTTGGGCCGTAAAACTAAGGAATATCCCTCTCCTTCCTCTGAGGGGACGGACGTTGGGTTTCGGCGAAGACTGGACACTTTTACTTGCCGGAGACGCAGGGGATACCAATTCCGTCAGAGGTAGACTTCAGAGTCTTGGATCCTACGTTGGTTGCCAACGCTGAGCGTAAAGAGCTGTTTAGCCACTTGGGGGCTGAAGAGCTACAGGTCGCACAGGTCCGAGCCTCAGTTCTTGCGGCTTATATGTCACCGAATTCCCATGTCGGCATCGCAGAGTCGAGGGAACATCTGCATTTTCTCTATCTGACGCACAAATGGGGAGACGGTCCAGACGAGCTGAGACAGGTCTACCTCCACATGCACACTCCAGGTGTGAGAAAGCCTCATGATGAGGACCTCTATTTGCCAAACAATCACCTCTACGGGCCCGAAGCCCTCGTACAACCGCCAGCGGAGCGGCCGTGATTGCCTGTCGCCTTCCTGAACCCAGCCTACCTGGTCGAGACCCCCCAGCAGCACACCCCGTCTCATCTACCCTGGCTGGACTGGCTTCACAGCTCCATCGGTGTTCGGACACAGCTTCGACTTGTGTCACGCACTGGAGACTCGCTCTCGGATGCCATTACATATGTCGCTACCCACCTCCCAGACAAGTTTCTCGGCCTATTGAAGTACTTGTGGGTATACGAAGTGTCAGCAATCAGCAGCAACGTGGCCCTAAAGGAGCAGTTGAGTCAGATTTCAGCGGAATTTCTCTGTGGCAAATCCGAGCTAGACTACGTGCGTATCAACAACACATGGCTTCCGTTTTCGAATCTCAAAGAACAACGTCTACGGTACATGGAGGAATCGGAGCCTTTCCCCTTTCTTGATCTTGGAGAGACGACGTCCGACGAAGAGCTCAGCACAAAGTGGATGTTTCTAAATGCGCATCTTTCTGTCGGGAAGGATGACAACATTAACTTTCTTGATATCGCCGACTGGATTGGGGAGGCCAACCCCGAGCCTCCGCCCTCAGACAAGGCCCGGCCAATGTTGGACCTGTACGTCACTCTCGACGCCAAATTTCAGGCCGCAGCCGGTCAGGAGTCCGCAAGGGACTTGATAAGGTAAGTAGGCCCGGATCCTTCAAGGAAACCACTTACCAAGGTATATGGATGTCGAGCTAATTATCACACTCCCAAGGATTATCAGAACATCCGACTACATCTTCATCCCCGCGGAACGCAAGGACCCTGCGTTCTGGGCTTGGGCTGAAGATTGCCTTTGGGAATGCGCCCGGATGGATGACATTGAATGTTCCTCTCAAATATGGTTATGAGGTCGTGCTCGGCATGCCGCCGCACGAAATGCAACGTCTCGCACACTTCTTTCAGGAAACACTTTCCGTGCCAGATGTTAGTTGGGAGGACATAACATATGAGTTGGAGGACCTGAAAACGATCGACCGCCTAAACCCCAAACGGGTTCGGGCCCTCTACGACTACCTGGCTGGGATGAAAATCGTTGATTTTGTTGACGACATGAGGTATTATGCTCCTGCCCTGTGCCTTCTTTGCATCCGTCTTCTCAAAGCTAACGCCACGTTAGTCGAGAGTTCGAAGACGAAAGTCTCATCTTTGCTGAAAAGAATGGCCGACATGGCTGGTACAAGACGTCCGAGTGCTTGTGGTCGAGCACGACAGAGATCAGCGGGATGGTTATGTTGGAGGATCAATACGGAAACTTGAGAGACTTCTTCGTTGATACATTGGGTGTCAGGACGCTTACTCTACAGATGGTGCACGACGAGCTCCTGCACACAAACCCGCAAACACCAGTGGGCAGGGTCAAGGACACCTTGCAGTCTTTCAACACACATCTCCAGACCGAACCGAATCCCCCCTTGCCCAACGATCTGCTCAAGGCTTGCATATTTCCGGTCAAGTACGCTACTGGGGCTCTAGTGTTGAGGTCCGCGCGGACAGACTTTGCCATTATTGACCGGGAACACCTGGCCGAGAAGTTCAAAGGCCGGATTCAGATGCTTGACTTCACTCTTGAGGAGGTTCGGCACTTGCAGCCTTTCTTTGACTGGGCAAACCTCCAGCATCGGTATTTATCGGCTGCCGTCCAGAAAACCACTACAGTATCGCCGTCGGGTAGCAGGACGCGACCTATCTCGGTGCCGGACCGCGATCTTGGAACAAAAGCTCACGCCCTTCTTCGGTAAGTACACTTCCAGCCATGTCCTAGTGCAGGCTGCTAAACGGGTGGGTAATAACACCAATACGTCCCAGGATTGCCTCCATGTTCAACAGCCCGCGATATCAGGCCGACGCAGCTGCATTGTACCGATTGCTCCGCACGGCCAAGGTCATTGAGACGAATGGTATTTCTTCCACTCTGACGATTCATCAGGATGGGGTGCCAACCGAAGTGGTGGAAAGGGCTGGCGACCTGCACATTGACGACACATCAGGACTCAAAGTCTATGTTCCCATGGACGAGATGTCACAGGAGACATCTGTTTCGGCTCGCCGCTACCCTTGCGCCTGGCGGGCTGGCTCCTGCGCGACCCGGCCAAACCAACAAACGAAGGAGCGGCTGTGGACGGGGCTGCGCTGACTGCCCTCACCGCACTTCTTGGTGCGAGGCACTCCGTGGTTCATAAAGTTCTGGACCCCCAGGGTATCGTCCGAGTCGACATCCCCGGTGACGACGACCATAGCGTCGATGAGCAAGACGATGACTGGGTCGATGAGGAAGACGATGGCTCCGTCGGTGAGGAAGACGATAACTCTGTCTGTGAGGAAGACGATGGCTCCGTCGATGAGGAAGACAATGGCTCTGTCGATGAGAAAGAGGATGACTCTGTTGCTGGCAGAGACCAGAACTTCGTTCATGACGAGAACCACAACTCCGTCGATGATGAGGATGACGTTGTGCCAGGGCGGTCGGGAACTCTTGGTTCCGTCGATGAGGAAGACTATGAATCTGTGGATGACGAAAACCAGGACTCCGTTGACGACGAGAACCGCGGCTCCGCCAATGATGTCAATCACGTTGCGCCATGGAGGTCGGGAACGCTTGACTCCGCCACTCCAATCCTCAACAGCGCCCTGACGCTAGTTACAACTGCCCCGAACACGCCAACTCCACCTCTGGACGCGGATGACCCAGACAACCCGAAATCTGACACTGATGGCCTAGACGTTGCTGCAAACAACCCAGACATCGACTCAAACAGCCGGCCCGGATGTTGACTCAGACACTCCCGACAGTTACACAGATGGCCAAGACGTTGACCCAGACGACCCCAATGTTTCCGTGGCGCTGGTCGCCGTTCAACAAGCGTACAGGGCGGACCGCCCGGCTGTGCCGGTGGTAACTTTCTCACGGCCGGAATCGCCTCCGCATGAGCCGCTGTCAGCTGAAGACATACATTACCGTGCGCTCCTGAACATAGTGGTCACTCAAGCGCGGACGGCCAGGCTGCCAACAAGGGGGCATTCGACATGACCGGCCTTCGTGACGCGTTGCCACAAGACGACGACATTGTCAGCTTCGATGGGCTCGAAGTCATGAACCGGTTCCGGTCAAGCAGCAAGATCGAGCGCGACAAGAAGATCGGTGCAGCGGGAGAGCTATACGTGAGGATCCCAACACGTATGATCGCAACGTGGCGGAACTGACCCGTCTTTATAGGTTTTCGAGCTTCTGTCTTGCCTCGCCCCGGCCTTTCCGGTTGGAGTCATGAGAACTGGCAAAGCACAATGCGGCGCTACGTCACTATCCACCCGGACTACGCCGATATGGAGTCTTGGGACAAGCGGGAGACGGCTGACATGGTTTATGATGATGTTCAGGGCGCTTTGACGGGGTGGCTCAT